TGGAAGAAAAGAAACATTTCTTTTATGGCTGTTGGATAAAGATGACATTGCTGGATGAACAGTATTACAATGGAAAATTAGGGATTGACGGAAGGGTCTTGAAGGACTCAAACGGAGCACACAGGGAAAAACAGATGAAAAGGTAAAGGAGAATATATTGCAAATGATGGACATTTTGTATGCTCTCAGTTTTCTAGTGGAATGCTTTGTTCCTTTGAGCTTATGATACAGTGTCATTTTGTCCTATCTGAAGTATCAAAACCTAAAGATTCTGGTCTGGTCAAAGGTAGAGGAGGAGTGATCTTACCAGTAAAATGATCTTGCATCCTTAAAATGATCCATGTCCAATCTTTCTTTAAAGACAAAAGTTTCTCAGTGAGCTGTTGGTGTTCATATATACCTTTGAAACTTCTTGAGAGGGTACATTTGTGGCATTAAGTCTCCTCCTGTTTCAGACTGTGAACTTTTTATCATATTGAAGTTTTTTTTGGGGAGAGACAATGAAGTAGGCCTATGATCGCCGTGTTCCTTTGGCATGTCTTGATCTTCAAAATACGGCTTGGATTCCTTCTCCTCCTCACCAGTCAAATCCAAATGGAAATGAGATGTGTGAACTGGAAAGGATTCAAGTGTGGCTCCAAGTAAGAGAAGTGGTCATCTTTAGACTGTGTAGTTCTCCAGTCCCCAGCACTTTACAGGCAAGAGGATATGACTGGCCTCTGGCAGAAAAATACTGCCAACTGGGGAGTTTTAGGGGTTTTGTATTGCATTGCTTGCTCAGAGTTGTAACACACTGACCAGTGAAATTCGGGATCTGCTGTTCAAGGTATTGGTAATGAAAATTTGGGTCACTGTTCCACTCTGTGCCAAGAGGGCAACTTCAAGAGATGATGTGTCCTTGTTCACCCTGGTTGACTCCTGCAAGCCAGCAAGAGAAACACTTAGGCTTTTAGGAGCCTTTTTTAGAGGCTTTTACTGAATTTGTTGAGGCTGATCTACAGCACATATAAATATATATATGTATATATATAATTTTTAATTTTTGGCCATTGTTGACATTTTCTGCTTTAGCTTATTTGAAATATTAGACAAGTTCAAAATGAAAATATTATAGAAAAAAAGATTCTTGGATGTGATAATGAGAAACATTGAAAGAATATTATAATGTAGATCAGAAATGTGAAAGAGATTAAGCTCCTCTTCTGACTCTTACTTGTGATTTCTTAAAGGTACTTATGCAATGGGTCTTGGTCTGTAGAATGCTATTCATTATAAACAAATTCAAAATTCTATCCTGGAGTTTTCTTTCTTCCTATTTGTGTTTGGAGATTTCATTTTTCCTATTTTAATTATAAATCTGATTAACAAAACCAAAAATCTCAACTCTTATATCTGGCACTTTCCAGTACTATTCTGCGTTGTGGCCTTGCTTTCAATCTTAAATTTATTGAGAAATAGATTTTTCTGAATAAAGCAAAAACATAGAGACAAATTCTCTTAAGCTTATGTGGGCCTGCTCTCAGGAAGGCAAGTGTATTGTCATAAACTTACCTTGTAATGCTTAAAAATAATTAAAAAAACCCTAGTAAAAGTAATTTGGCATTATGCAATAATTTGCTTTTTGGCTTATTAGTATTAAACTAATTGTAACAGTATATATATATGCCGTTAGGCTTTCTGACAATAGGCTCTGTTTATCAGTATGGCTGTGACAACCCACGTGTTCTTTCCTCCCCTATTTCTTGATGTTAGATAACAACTAGAATTACATAAAGTGGGCTCTCCTCTTTCCATGAGAGCTCTTTGGGATTTACTGTCCCATTGTGTTGTTCACTCAGCATGTTCCTTTCAGCTGTCCCAACAGTTTAAAACTTGTAGTAAAACCTTATGAATCATTCTGTTATGGGGAGTATTAGCTGTGTATTATCTTGCCTTTTACAGACTCCACAGAAAATGTTTTAATGTGAGCAGAGATGTTTGAATATAGGGATGCTGAAGAGCGCAGTGCAGCACACACAGGTCTCCTGTCATAGTGTCAGAAAAAATATTATGAAGTCCCTTACTTCTAGTGAAAAACAGGAATCTTACCAAGCAGGAGAGTCTGAAATCATCTTGATACAACTCATCGTGAAAACTAACTTTGTTCTTGTAGTTGCATACCAATAATCACTTTCCTTGTTGAGCCCCACTAACCTGCCTTTCTTGGTTTTGGGGGAATGGTGAGGTGGTTTGTTTTGTTTTGATTCCCAATACCACATTTTATTTATGGAGATTTTGATATGTCCTTTGGTCCAAGTGCTATCCATTATCTTAAGCCAAAGTAACAACTGATTTGCTGCCAAGTATTTGCCTGCATAAAGGGAAGAATATGGTTTCATCAAATGTGCAGGAAGACTAGTGACTAGAAAATGAAGCTACTCTGTGCAGCACAAATATGTTGGGGGTGTCCCAGCAATCCACCAAGGCAACATCCTGGCAAGCTAATTATAGCAGCTGAAATGTCTCAGCGCACGGCACAGTAACAAGCAGTAACACCCATCTGGGTGGGCTGGCTGCAGCTAAACTTTACGCTCTTACTGGTGTTCTCTCCCTCATTCTGAATCCCTTGTCTGTATTTAATCCTGCTGTAGTTTAAACACCTGTCTATGTGGAATGTGTGAAATGTCCCTACTACCATACTAAGCTATTTGCTCACGTGCTTTGCTTAGAAAGACAGTTTTCAAATAAACAATGATACAGTATTAGAGAGGAAAGCAGATTGCATTAGTAGAGCAGGGGTGAGGTGGTAATTCATCAGGCTAAATGGTTCTTAGTATCAAGATGATGGAAAAAATGGATAAAGTCATCTTCATTTCACATATTGAATGTGTTAGCAAAGTTGTGATCACTGTTGCTGACAAGCTAAGAATTGTATATATCCTATTTCCTTTGTGTTTGTCTCATTTGCCATTCTTGCTTCTTTTCAGACAATAAACTCTTTGTGGCCAGAAACTGTCATTGTTTAGGTATTTGTATAGTGCCTGGCACAACTGGAACTAAACCTAATTTGAAGCTTTCTGTTCTTGCAATGAAATGCTTTAAATTTTAATTAAATTCTGCAGAAGACAACAGCATTTAAGGGTGAGGTAGAGGCACCAAAATGACACCTTTAGTAATTTTCCATGTAAGATGGGTAGCACTGCCTGTGGCTAAGCTTGCTTTTAGGGCATAAGAGCAGCTGGAAGAGTAACAAAGAACAAACGTGTGGGAAGACAGATCAACTAACTACTCCCATGGAGAGTTCCAGGCTTGAAACTGTGTGGCTCAGGGGCCAGAAGTAGTGGAGAAGCCAGTGCTGGAAGTCTGTAGGAATGAAACTGAGCAGAATATGGAGAATGACACCTGAAACATGGAAGCTGTGACTGACTAAGTGAGAATAACAAGACACAGACAAGGAGTAAGAACAGGAAAGGATAAGGCTCAGAAGGGATGAGGCAAAAAAGGTTGCTTTTGGAGCAGTGAGCAGAAGCCCACTGCGTAACTGCTATAATTTAATCCTGTCCATAACTTGAAGTGGGAGTCAAGATTTCTGAATTTACAATATGCTTAGGTGCCTCATAGTACTAAACCACAGGAGAATTGGGAATCTACTGTGCTGCCAGTTGCAATAGTAGTTCATGCCAGAGTTCAGTCAGAGGATATGAAATCTGCAGTCCTGCACAAGTCTATTGTAGGTATGAGTGCAGTGTATTGCAATGAAGCTGGTATGTGCTTGAGTATTGCACACAAATTCTGGTAAAAGAGCATTGTTAAGGTCTCAAAGCTGGGAATGCTTGAGCTATGCTTAAGTCATACTTAAGTGGCTTAACAAGCATCACCTTTGAGGTCTGGAGCAGATGCAGGATTAGGTGTTATACTCTTCCTTCTGTGTCCTGTGTCTCTCTGGCTATATGTCTTCCAGTTGCCACAGAAGCAAGCAGAGGCCATATAGATAAGTTTTGCTTACCATATGGCCTTAGTCTTGGTGCAGACCTAGCTCTGTTCTGTGCTCCTAAAAAGCAACATGTGATCATGTAATTAAAGGCAGTAATAAACTTAATTCTTGCAATGTCTGACTGAGAATCCCTGTTTTGCAACCTTTGTAGTGTCTTGTAAGCTTCATAATTCTTTTCCCAAATATAAACTAATACTTATCCTGCTGTAGTAGATACCACTTTGTTACATTTTTTTAGGCTCTCTTCAATAAACCAACAGATAGTGTCTGTTCGCAGAGTTTGATCTGACAAGAAGATAACCAGTGAAAAAAGAATGCTCAGTTCATACTGAGTTCATACACTTCGTATTCTTAAATCCACATGGATAATTTCTTTAGAGCTTGGTATAACAAACACACACCTAACACAATTTTAGCGTATCATTAGCCAGCATATTTACTTGTATAAACAGATTGGAAGTGGTTATGTGAGAAGTTTCTTTCATTTGTGGTAGAGTTTGGTTTTGAATTATATATACAAGGTACATATGCTGTTGGATTGTGCCTGTATGGGTGCATAGAGAGGGGTAGAGAGGACAAGTGTATATGGCTGGCTTAGTGAAACAGCTTATGTTGACTGGGCACACTGGTCTCTGCTCAGTGTAATGTGAGTTTCTAGGTTTTGATTAGTGCATGTAGAGTTAAGTTTTCACATGACAGGAATGTGATGTTGCTTTCTTACTCTGGGATTTTTGATCCATCTTTGTCTTTCCTCCTTTGTTCTTCTATGAATGGAAGGGTTGTACTTTTAATGCTGGTACTTAAATTCATCTCAAGCATGGTGGAGGTTGGTGTCATCTCTCCCACTGCTTTATGCAACTGGCACAGTCCTGCATCTGAATGTTTGCTTTCTCTAGTAGTCTTATTTCTCTTAGTACATAGTCTATCCAGTTTACTTGGTGACACCTTTTGCTCTTTTCTTGGCTTTTAATTGTTTCTGATGTTTGGTTTTTGTTTGTTTTTTTCCTCTTCCTCCCACCCCCTTTAGTTAACAAACCTGAACTTGGCAAGTGGAGCTATAAGCAAGGGGAATGCAGCCACCCCACAGAGCTACCAGTCATCACTCAACAAAAGAGGGTCATTGTTGGCTGTGCAGTCAGATGCCCATAGAGCTGACAAAAGGCCTGTCTCTTCAGCTGTCAGGTAAGTTAAAATTCCTGCTCCAGCTTTTTGAAGAAAAATGCAATGCGCTCAGGAGCTCACTTGTAGTTTGTATGTGGCTTCTTGCTCAGATGCTGGAGCATGTCCAAAGGGCAGAAATGCTGGTGAAGGGCCTGGAGCACGAGTCTGATGAGGAATGGCTGAGGGAACTGGGGTTGTTTAGTCTGGAGAAGAGAAGGCTCAGGGGGGACCTTATTGCTCTCAACAACTACCTGAAAGGACATTGTAGTGAAGGGGTGTCAGTCTCTTCTTTCCCAACTGACAAGCAATAAGACAAGAGGAGATGGTCTCAAGTTGCTCGAGGAGAGGTTTAGACTGGATATTAGAAAAACTTTCTTCACAGAAAGTGTTGTCAAGCATTGGAACAGGCTGCCCAGGGAAGTGGTTGAGTTAGCATACCTGGAGGTATTTAAAATACATTATCTTAAAGGTCTTTTCTAACCTAAATACTTCTATGATTCTGTGTAAGGGCCTATCTTCTTAGGACTATCCCAGAAACTAGGCCTATGAAAATAGAGCTACGTTCCCAGAGCTCTCAGGTTCATGGTGAAATAAGGAGATGGATGAACGTCTATAATGAAAGGGAAATGTCTGTTTGACCATTTCTCATCCCTGCATCTTTTAAGTTTAGGTTTGCTGATGTTGAGACATACATGCAGAATGCAAACTTATACCCGATACTGCGAAAAATCTCCATCAAGGCTGCATCTTTATGCTTCTTCCTTGAATGTCAAGCTTAGATTGTTCAAAGATAGAGCAGTATCTTTCAGTGTTTATGTTATAAAGTTTCTTTTTCAGATGGCTTCATTATGGTCTTTATTAATTTTGGATGTTAGAATTTATATTTATTGCCAATATCATGGGACTCAGGGCAAAGACTGTGATTCTGCATTAAAACCATTCTTGCTGGGATTGAAAGAGCGGCAAGGTTTGCCCCAGGGATTCTGGACTTTGGAAGCTACGGGCAGGGTGAGCTATGCTGAATACCGGCCCAGAACTGCTGGAGTTTTGAGTTCTTTCCTTGCCACTTCAGTAAATACTGTTATTCTTTCACCTAAGCCTTCATTTTTGTTTTTTAAATTAGAATAAGGAGACACAGCTTCTCCAGCACATGGGTTTAGGACTGGAAAGCACTGTATACATGAAAATACTGATTCTTGTCACTGCTGCTTGAATACTACCAGAAAATGGAGTGAGGTGAGAGAGTCAGACACAGTGCAGAAGGAGGCATGTGACCTGAGTGGTCATCCTTTCCCAAATGGGTCCTTCAATAGAAGGATTGGAATGAGGCCTGGCAAGCTGAAGTAAAATTATTCTTATTTCATCAGCACTGCTTTTCATCCTGCCTAAAGAAGAGGAATGTGAGAAATGAATTCCTGGCCTGTTTCTGTTCCAGTATTATGTTTGCCTCTGGGGTTTAGAGTTATTGAGAGAGGTGGTGGTGATTCTGCTCTTGGAGCTCAGCCAGGCAAGCTATGACCTAATCCAAATAAAGAACCTATCCAACAGGTGTAAACTACCTTCCCTTCCTACATAGCTTGAGAGAGCAGCAGAGTGCAGGCTGTCCTAGAGCTTCCATTCCATTCTCAGCTCTGCTCTCACCTCTGCATGGACTCACACACATAGGTGGAGAAAGATTATGCGTGCTCAAAATCTTCTGTTGCAGAACTCTGCAGGAGTCACTGTAATTACCATGTTGCCTGAAACAATTTCCTGTAGGTCTAAGAACCCATCATTTGATGCCCAGAGCTCCACTCTGAATGACTTTGAGGTCTCTGCCTCATCTAGCATTGTATGCATAGTTTAATGCCTTTAGAAATTCTCTTTTATTTTGTACAGTAATCCAAAAGTACTTCAGAATTGTCTGGTCACAACTGGTACAAGATCCCATCTTCAAACCTTTTATGAACCATTTAGTTTTTCAGTACTTCAGTTGTTCTGCTCTAATCCTCAGAACAAGAGATGGAAAGACGTCTTAAGACTTTACTGAATTACTTTATCTTTGTGGCTGAAAAGAATTCTCTCCTGGCGAGAATACCAGGAGGTAAAAGCTTTACGTAAACCTGGGAATAAAAGAAAAAAAGATTCTTTTCAGTGCTGAATTACTTGGGCTGTGAACTTTCATTTAATGGGAGAACTCCAGAAGGAATGCCAAGGTCACGATCTATGGAGATGGCTATCTTCTATTCTAAATGCCTTTTTTGCTACTTGCTCTGTCACACTGGAGCAAGCTGTTCATAGAGGGTCATCTGATGGGTGTCAGCCTGTGCGCAGTGCTGAGTGGCTGTTTGAAGAAAAAAGCTTCCTGTTTTGTTCCATTAAGGTTCTGGTCTACCAGTTGTAGAATTCAGCGAGGATGGAAATGTTTTGTAAATGGGTCTCTTATCTGGCTTGCACTCGGCTCCAGTTCAAACATCTGCCTCTGAAACACAGTCCTTACAATTTTTGTATGGCTCTGTGGTAAAACCAAGCCATTTTACTACTGTTGAGATTTCTTTGAAAATTTTGTTTTGATGCTTGCAATCTGTAGGATTCAGCATAGTCTTACTGACAAATCTTCTTCCTCTAATTCTCAGCCTCCCAGAACTGCCTTACTTAAATGCTTCTCAAAGTATCTCTGTTGAATTTTTTTTGGCTGTATGAGATGAGGTGCCAAATCAGTAGTCTGCTTGCCAAAAGGCAAAGGAGATCTCGAGTTTGCAATATAGAGATAAAGAACAGTTCTGGATACATTAAAATGTTATTTTATAAATCTGCATTGCTGTGCCTTTTGAGGTTTTTGTCGCTTTCTATAAGCATTGGTGCGCTTCCCACTCCAGTGATGGCTTAGGCTTTCACTGTGCCTCAGACACAGAAGCCTGCAGGACTACACAAGAGATGAGGTGTTCCGAGCTGTATATGGGCTTTCTTCTGACTACCATAACGTGGCTGACAATCTCTGCCGTGTTTGCTGGAGCCCTGTCTTTGTTGCCCTCTGTAGCTCTTTGAGGCTATTCTGTATCTGCTCTCTCCTACTTTAACACTAGTCCTATCTCAGTTCAATCCTATTTTCAGTTCAATCTCAACTTCTCACTCTATCCATCAGGCAGGATTGTCACCCTTTCACATTCTGCTGTATGTAAACGTGTGTGTATATATTTTTTGTAATAGAAGTATGTAAAATCCCATATATAATTTTTATCTATTTTGCTAATGTAATATAAGGCAACAAATATGGAAGTGATTCCTCATTATTCAGTGCAACTAATTTTTTGTCACTGAAGCCAAGACCTTACCAGAACTCCTCTTGGAAGAACATTCTCTTGAAAGCATTCTCAGTTGCAAAATAAAGGTAAAAAAATTGGGTGTTTGAGAATGAAGCTTGTTGATTTGGAACCTAAATTAACTTTTGAGTACCTGTTGGCAAATAGTTGCATAAACCCTAGTGATGGGGACAGAAGACATTCTTGAAAGCTTCTGGCACTGGAATCTGCAACTGCTGTGTCACTGCTTCATGCCAGTTTCATTTACTGTTAGGGGTACATGTACTGTGTGTTCTAGGTTTCAGATGTTCTGCTCTGATATTGCTAAGTATATATCCTTTGGACTTGTGAGGATATGGAAGAGTCTCTGATCTCTTTTGAGACTTTGTTCTGTGCTGGTATAAGTAACTTCTCTGTTTCCACTAAAACTGAGTTTTGCCAGAAAGACCCCAGACAAACATCACAGGGTAATTGTGATTTACTGATATAAAGGGAAGCTGAAAATGGCTTCATTCTTTGCCCAGTTTATATTTTAAATTTTGGAGGTGTGGGATGTAAAATAAGAAATTAGGCTTGGAACCTGACTAGACAGGATCTGAAGAGCTATAAGAGCCATTAGAAAAGCGATACTAGAATAGCCAAGAGATGTGCTAATATGCGAGGTGATTCTCAGAGTGATAGAAAGGTGAGCAGCTGATGGGACAGTCATTTTTTGCAAGACTCGGGAGCTAGGCGAGGATGGGCTTATTATTGCAGAAGCAGCATGGATGTTAAAGTAGGGGTCCTGGGAAAGAGCTAGCTACATACAAGCTTGCAGCTAGAATTCAGATGTTGTCCCAGGGATCTTCACAGGTAACACCAAATTTTAATAAGAATAAATCTATTTCTCTTAGTTACATATGTGTTGCCTTGTAGTTCTGCATCTTAAGGGTTGATAGTGACTTAATTCTCTTCCAAATCATTTGTTTCAAGCTCCATGCAGTCTTTTGCAAGTTAGAAGCTGCCCAACTGCTGTCCTGTGCAGCACTTGCCAAGTGGTAAGAGCCTATTTGTTTGCGCAGTATCTAGGTGCAAGCTAACTCGGTGACTGATGCTTCTGGAGGAAATTAAGGAAGAAGGCAACAGGCACTGGGGGCTGTACAATAGGCCTTCAGTTTGGTTTGAGCAAATTGCATTGACCTTAACACCTCCTTAGCTAAGCATCATGGAAGTGCCAGAGCAGCAGCAGACCAGCAGCACTGAGTCCAGCCCTGTGCCAGCATAGCCACGTGTCTGTTCCTTGCCTCTCATACTGCTGTCCTTTTCTCTTTAGCTGTTGAATTAATTTAGGCATTATGGTAAATTTCTTTGAGGTGGAGGAGCAATGGAGAGTAGGTACAGTGATTTTTCCGTGACTGATCTCCTGTCTCTATCTCCTCAGCAGCTCTGATGATTCTGCCTGTGGTCCATGAGAAGCAGCATTTCTGACAGCCCTGAATTTGGGGTTTGGTCTATTACTACCTTCTGTTCAGAGAAGTTTGATGACAGGCAAAAAACAGAAGTACTGCCTGGGCAACTGTGCATTCTTGCAACTCATCCTGTCTCTCGTTTGTGCATATTCTTCCTCTCTCAGTGCATATTTGTGCCTGTAGCAGCCTCCCCCTGCCCTTCCCTGGCAACCTTTTTTACACATCTCCCAGGGTCACTGGTGACAACTTGTTAACTCTGAGAGTGAATTTGCTGACTTAAACTTCAGAAATA